CTAGCATACGCACCGTAGATTCTCATGAAAAAACTGCAGATGAACTCCATAACCCTGCCAAGCCCAGACTTACCGAGCCCCCCTTGGACATAGCAAAATACGTTCGGTTCTGCCCCGTTTTCCATTTTGCATGTAAAGTACGACCATCCCATCCAGGCTGGCATCGCAGACCCTCGTCCCTGTCACAACATACACTGCGCGCGTGCCGCGCATACAGCCATATGCACGTCTGCAATAAGCCCATGCTAAACACATTCAACATTCCACTGGTGCAGGCAACTGCCGACATCGCACCAAACACATCAGCGTCGCAAGCGTTCCAAGATAAAACCAAAACTGACGTCACGCTGTCTTTCAGCAGAAGCATGTCAGCTATTCTGCCCACGCGCACTTGCTGACATCATGGTAAGCCATATGATTCTAGACATGTCGTTCAGACTGGACATTGCCACCTCACCACGACAAACATGCGCCAATTGCACGAACCCGTGCCAAATAGTACCAGTCGGGCCACAACCGCACGCCGACACGCGCGCGTCGAAACCCTTGTCAACATTTTGACGCTCGAGGCACTCCAGTATATACACATATAGAGATACGAAAGGAAAAAGAAAGAGAGAGAGAGAGAGATATTCTCATACGCACCTCTCCGAGGGAGTAGAGCTCAGAGGGGATTAATGCGTCCGTGCGTGCGTCCGTCTTTGATTTTTCTGGCCGTTTCGCTCGGGACATCCTCGAAATTCTGAAAATCGGTGGCACCCCCTCACGCAGATCGTGAAGGAGAGGTCCAAGAACAGATTGGAATTTCAACATTTTAACATAAAACCTTCAAATACACATGGTAATTTCAATAATTTGTTTGACCCCGATTCTCAGAGAATGGCGGTTTCGCCTGAGACATCCTCCCAAACTCGAGCACCAGACCCCTCCTTGGAGCCTCCTGGGGGCCTCCTGGAACCTCCTGGGGCCTCCTGGGGCTTTCTGGACCTTCTGGTACCCCAGACCCCGCCTCGGAGCCTCCTGGAGTTCTCCTGGGCCTGCTGAGGCCGCCTGGGGCCTCCTGGGGCCTCCTGGGGCTTCAGAACTACATGCACACACAGAGACACAAATCACGCCCAACACATCACACGCTAGACAAACATAACATACACACACACACACACACCGACAACACACAAAAAGCACGCACCACACAAAGCACACATCACACACACACACACACTCACAATCCTGGGGCCTCCTGGAGCCTCTTCTGGTATCCAAGTCGGGCCTCCTGAGGCTTCCTGGGGGGCCCTGGTACACACATCGCAAGGTGTGGCAACCCCACTTGCGCTCGAGTGCGACTTCGCTGTTGCATGTCACTCCCGCTTCAAACGCCCCTTCAGCTTGTTGTATGAGCCTGGGCACACACGTGCCACTTGTATATATATATATATATATAGAGATCGCGTGGCATATGAATTGGGCTTGTGCGCGCGCGCACTTCCTCGCCATCAAGCACATCAACGCCAACGCATCACCGCCGTCATCGTAATCGCGAGTCGCCGCCATTGCCACCATCATCAACACAATCACCTTCACCACCGACTCGTGGACGTCATCATCGTCGACGTCACCAGTATCAACGCGGCCATTGGCCTTACAATCATCATCGTCATCGTCGCCACCACCAACGCTGCTACCATCATCGGCACCGCCGTGAACGACGTCATCATGATGCCGTGCCCGCCCGGGTCACCGACCCGCACGGACGTGCCCGCGGTTCAGCGCGGCCTTGGAGACGCGCTGGGCAGGTCCAATCGGTAAACGCCATGGCGGCCCCATCATATGTGCCGAACCAGCTGGCCGCCCTGCGCGGGAGCTTTCGCCTGCCAGCGCGGCCGAGCAAATGCGCTAGCAAGTGCCAATCGGCAATCGCAATCTTGGCCGCATGGGTTTTGCCACACGAGTTGCGAGTGGGAGGCGGGATGGCTGCGCGAGCAATGGGGTGGACACCTCACGAATTGACAAGGCTCATTGCACCGCGCAAGCTGTACAACAATAGTTTTCCATCCACCATGACAAAGAAATTCCGCCCCCCTCCAGAGCCAGGACTTACCGACCCCCCATTCTGGGACACTGCAATGTGATCTTGCCTCGACGTTCATTTCTCCATGCCTCGTGCCATCCCAGCCAAACCAGTATCGCCCCACCCGTCCCTGCCAAATCAAACTATGCTTACGCACACATTTTCCATAGAGTAGATAAAAAACAAATCCGTCGCGACAGATCTCGCAATGTCCACACGCGCGCGAAACATGTCGAAACCATGTCGGGACCATACCGAGCACACTAACACTACAAGCATTTTGACGCAGACGCGTACATACATTATGTGCTCCTTTCCAATGCGTGCAGATTTCTGTTCGCGCGCGGTTGCTGAAACAACACGAACAACATCTGATGTTAGCAATCTCGCCGACGACCCCCACTCTCGTCTCAACAAGCAGTGCATATTATGCGGGCCACAATCGGACGTCGTCGCGCGTGCGTTTCGAAATCCTTCCGGAACCATTGGTTTCCGAAGCGTTTCAAGATAGCGTTTTCCAAAACATGTGAGAACACTGGCTTATCAATAAAACGTCTTTCGCTTTTCTTGCATTTCCGCGTGCGGATTTATGCACCATCTATCAATGTGCGAACCGGTACCGCCGTCACCAGCATTGGCACCATCATTGGCCTTGCCGTCGTCATCGTCATCATCGCTACAACCACCGCTATCATCATCATCATCATCATCATCATCATCATCATCATCATCATCATCATCATCATCATCATCATCATCATCATCATCATCATCATCATCATCGGTGCAACCGTTGTCGACGTCAACCGGCCCGCACTGAAGTGCCCGCGTGCCAGCGCTGCATGCGAGACGCAGTGGGCAATTCCCATCGCAAGCGCCATCGCATCCGCGTCGGTTGTGCCTAACTAGTTGGCCGCTCTGCGCGCGAGCTTGCGCGAGCTAGCACAGCCGCAGATGCACCAGCCCGTGCCTAATGGGCACAGCAATCGCGGCGGCCACGGGTTATGCAAAACAAGTTGCCGGTGGGAGGGGGGGGTGACTGCGCGAGCAGTGGAGTTGACGACTTCAAATTCTGCAAGGTGGGTTGCACCCATAGATGGCACCACGTAGCATGCACAACAGAGACATATGTCACGAGTTTGCACTCTATATACGTCACGACACATCGGACTACGTACCAACTTGCACCACATAGCATGCAACATAGATCATGCACAGTGTAGATTGCACCATTTACCATGCGCACCACTCACAATACACACATTGTTTGCACCACCTAGCTTGCGCCTGTAGTTTAAGTTTCCTGCATCGGTTGCACCAACTTGCTTGCATCACATGGCATGCACACCATAGCGTGATTCACATCGATTGTATACCCAAGGCGCAAGAACACACACTGTGGGGTCTACGCTGGCAAACAATTCCCTCGGAATTTCAATGTTCTTCTCTTTCCACGCATTTCGGTCCAGGATGGCTCTGCTTGCGGTCGTTGACACCCAACCAAGGCGGCCACCTAGAGCCCAAAGAGGGCCCCTACACAGCCGTGACAAAACGTTATTCCGTGTTCTGTAGCGATTTCTGGCATGACATGATGCTTGCGCCACTCGGCGGAACACATTCGACCCTAGGTCTGCTGCTAACTCTGTTACACCAATCCGCGATCGAAACCTAATCCGCGTAAAACCTTATGAATCATCGAGCGGGGGGGCGTGTCCGCGCGGAGTAGTTGGAGCAACTCCTTCTGCGAACTAATTTAGCGAGGTTGCGCCCGTGGCGAAGACCAATTGAAAACCACTTTCAGCACGGCGATATAGGCGGCCCAGAGACTGCCTCAAGGGAGCCCCAAGCTGGTCCAAGGCAGCCTCTGCAGGGGCCCACGACGGCCTCACAAGGCACCAATGCGGCCCAGAGGCAGCCCAAGAGGCCCCCAAGACCGACCGAAGAGGGCCCCACGGGACCCCCAGGGCTGCCCCACGGGAGCCCCACGCAGCCCCAAGGCGGCCTAAATGCGCCGCCCCATCAGACACAGAGATCCGATGTCGTGATTTTTTCAATAAGGGGTCCCCGGAAGTCTCGACCCATTCCCCGGGACCAGATTTTCATCCCGAATCGTTTTTTGACGGTCCCGAGGCCCGGCGAGGGCCCCTGGGGGCCGAAATTTGAGCAAAACCTCCGTCTTGATTTTCTCAATACGTTGGATCTCTGGGGAGCTCCACAAACGGAGACGAGAGATGTCACAAGTGCGCCGAAGAGAATCGGGCCTTACGCAAGATGACGCATCGACCTTTCGCGCGGTGGCTCACGCGGGTCGCCAGCGCGGCGCGCTGCATTGGAAACGAGAGGGCGCTCCAGCGCCACCTTGCGCGGGGGGCAGCTTGCGCGCGATTGTTCGCGCACTCGACCCCGCTTTCCTCCCTCGCTCGCACGCGACGGCCTTCTAGGGGAGACCAAGATCGGGGAGACGTAAGACTCGGGTGCGGGGGAGCCGGGTTGGCCTGACGGGGGCCATCATCAAAACGACGAGACCCAATCGGAAATTTGACGCGGGCTCCCGCTGCAGACATCCCACGAAAACGAGACCGTCAAAATCCAGGACGCGCTCGCCAAAAAAAAGTCGGTAAACCCGAGTTCCCGTTTACTCCAGTCTTACGTTTCCCCGACAAGAGGTACCAACACCGTTACTCCCCGGACCTCTCCCAGGGTGCGTTGTGATCAGGATTTCGGGGCGAATCCAGCGGTTGCGACGAGGGCCTCCCAGGCGGCCCGAACAGGGGAAAACGAGGCAGGGGTCAGCGGTATAAGAAGGCGACAACGAGGGAAGGGTAGCGGTGTGGGTATCTTTTCCTTCCTTGATTCCGGGCGGCGCCCTAGGGGCCGCGCCACAGGATGCCTCGCGGGCACGGCGGCGGGCCTGCCGCCAAGGCACGCTGGCTAGTGCTCCAGCGCCTCCGCGTAGCGCCCCTGCGCGTGGTAGATCGTGCCGAGCTGGTGCTGCGTCTTGACGGAGCGCGGCCAGTGGGCCGCGTCCGCCTCGTACAGCGCCTCGGACGACCCACCAAACCACCCTCAACCCGTCCCAGAGTCGTCGTCGGACCCTGCGGTCTCGAGCGGGGGGACGCCCTGGGGCATCGAGACAGCGCAGTGGAGCCCGTACACCCCCTCCAACCCGAAATTTCGAGGGGCTCTGGGACCTTCGGGTTGGTTTGGGGCGGGGGAGCCCAGAATGCGGGCAAGACTCATGTCCATATCCAGTGCCTCTTGGACTTTTTTGGAAGCGGCGCCACAAGGCCGAGGCGCACTGGATATGGATAAAAATCGAGCCTCTAGGGGGCAAGTTTATCCATATCCAGTGCGCCTCGGATTTCTTGGGAAGGGAGCTCGAAACTCCATACTGCAGTGGATATGGACAGACGTATTGCCCGCACAGAATCGAATCGATAACGGCGAACGAGATAAGTCGGATCGGCGGAACTCGGCAGCCGAGTCGGGAAGCGTCGCATCGGCGGAGCTCGGCAAAGGCCAACGTGCGTCTAAGGAACCGTCGGAACCCAAATCGGAATCCGAGATCGAGCCGAATCGGGGTCGGAATCCACCGAGGTCGAATGGAAGCGGACCAGAGGAGTCGCAACGAGCCCATGTTGGGACAGCTTGGTGTTGAGGGATGAAAAAAACGACCCTACCCTGGCTTACAAGTGTGTGGTCTGTAAACCTCCTGAAGCCTAGGGCCGCCAGGACGCGGCACATCACGCAGGGTTTACCCTGTCAGCCCACAGGAGTTTCAGCGCACAGCGCCTCGTAAACCAGGGTAGGGGCGTTTTTTTATGCCCTTGATGGTGAGTCGTGAGCCTCGGACGACCGCCACTGCCACACGCGGACAGAGCAGCCCACGGCGTAGAAGCAGACGAGGGCCGCTCCGCAGACCTGCGGGAGGGAGCGGTGCCAGCAGGGGCGGAGCGCCCTGGAGTCAGGTCGGGCGTGTCCCCCTACAGGCGGATTCTGGACGACGAATAACAATAGCAAAACACATATCCTCGAAATGCTCATAGATGTGTGTAGATATATGTATTAAACATCGTCCCGTGAGTTTTTGCTGTGTTTGTGTGTGTGTGTGTGTGTGACGGCTTTGGACTATTCCTCCTGTAGAGGGACGTCGTCGACGTAACCCTGGAGAGCGCGCGGAGGCCGCCGAGGAATCGAGGACCGCCGAGCACACAGGCCAACGCCCGACCACCTGGAGCCTCGAGCCCTCGGCCTGCTCGACCCTGCTCCCCCCTGCGAGCCTCGCGAATGCCGCTCGCAGAGGTGTATGCGCCCATGTCGCGTCGTCACGTCCGTATAACGTCTCCCAAGGTACTCGTGCCCCGCATTGCGCAAGGGTTGGGTACGTCGCCGGGGCAATTCGAAAACGGGCGTCACCAGGGGGGGGCCCGGGTAACTGTAACGACTGGGCGGGGCGGGGTGGAACACTTCAAGGCGGGAGGGGAGGGGTCTGACCTGGATGGGCCCCAGAAGAGCGGTCAAGAGGGAGGGATAAATCGGGGATGGACAGACCTCCCTTTCGTAAGACGTGGTTCAGTGAAAACGACCTGGGGCCCAAACCTGGCGGGCGCAAGCCTGAAAAATAACGGCCGCGGCGCCCTCTCGAGAACCGAAAACTGACAATTCACTAATCGACGTGTCACTGGCAACTCCGATCAGAATCGGTCCCCGAACGCCTGCCGGGGCCCATTTGGTACAATTTTTCACCCTGGAGCCGTTTTGGACGGTCCTGGGGCCCGAAGGCGGCCCCTGGAGGCCGAAAAAGGCAACACCAACAAAAACGCCTCGAACCTCGTCCCCTCCCCCCCCATTCCCTCTCGCCGGAACCAATGCTGGGGCACCTCGGACCCCCCAGCCGACTCCAAACACGACGACTCGCCATCGCTCGGACGCCCATTCCCCGTGCATCTGTCGGCTTCGCGCGCGCATGTTTCGCAGGATGACCTCCCATGCTCCTCGATGGTCCTCGCCGAGATAAAGCACAAGCACAAGCACAAGCACAACAACAAACACACAAGCACAAGCACAAGCACAAGCACAAGCACAAGCACAAGCACAAGCACAACAACAAACGCACAAGCACAAGCACAAAAACAAGCACGAGCACAAAAACAAGCACGAGCACGAGCACAAGCACGAGCACACGCGCGCCCGAGCGATGCCGAGACGGTGGCCTCCCCCCTGCCGCTTAGGCCCCCGGGCACCCACGGCCACGAGCGGCCGCCCGCTCCCGGCCCCCGCCCGGCGCCGCGGCCCGCGGGGGCGCCGAGCTCCAGGGCCTGCCCGACGGAGGCGAAGACCACGGCCGCGCCCACCGTCGACGGGTACAGCAGCCGCTCGCCTGGGCCGCACGCGGGAGCGGCCCTGCGGGGGGGGAAGGGGGGGTTTAGAAGAAGTTCCACAAGCCGGAGGTTTTAGTACGAAGTCGAAGTACCGGGGGCTTTCGAACGAATTAAAAAAAAAACCCGGTCTTGAGTAATGTCCGGGCCCGCACGCGGGAGCGGCCCTGGGGGAGGAGGAGGAGGAGGAGGAGGAGGAGGAGGAGGAGGAGGAGGAGGAGGAGGGAGGAGGAGGAGGAGGAGGGGGGGGAGGAGGAGGAGGAGGAGGAGGAGGAGGAGGAGGAGGAGGGAGGGGGGAGGAGGAGGGAGGGGGAGGGGGGGGGGCGGCCGCGGGGACGCCCTGCGCTCCCGGACAGGGCCGCGTCGCGCAAGAGAGACGGGCCCCGGCGGCCGGCGCTTGGCCGCTTCTTCGGCCTGCCGGGGGCCCTCGCCGGGCCCCTGGACTGAACCGTCCAAGAACGACTCGGGATTACCAGCCTCGAACTTATCCCTATCCCTGAGATTGACACGCCAAAAGGCGATGACAATTTTAGGGATGCGCCCTCAAAAAATAAGGGAATCCCTAAGATTGGCATCGTGATGAGGAGATGCCCAGTATAGGGATAGGGATATGTTCCAGGCTGGTAATCGGGATGGCAGACGGCCCCCACGGGAAAGGGTCGGGACGTCCGGGGACCGGTCGCATGCCTGGGTTGCGCCGCACCTCCGCCGGCGGAGGCGGCCTCGTTTCACTTCCGCCGCCCCGCCGCCGCCTTCCGCCGGCCGAGGCGGCCTCGTTGCAGTTCCGCCAGCTGCCGCTGCCCCTCCGCGGCCTTCCGCCGAGGAAGGGCTGCCAACTCCTTCGATCCTCGAAGGCGGGGGTCTCTCTGGAGCGCGCTGTGTGGCGGTCTGCGCGTGCGTGGGCTTGGCCCCTAGAGGAGGAGGAGGAGGAGGAGGAGGAGGAGGAGGAGGAGGAGGAGGAGGAGGAGGAGGAGGAGGAGGACCAGTGGTAACCCAAGAGTCATCAGCGATGTTGGAATACACCCTCCCTTCAAGCTCCCTATTAATATGCCCCTATAGCGGTTCATTTCCACTGAGGAAGCTGCCGCGTTGGAAGACAAGCGTTGAAGACCCCGAAGCATACCAAAACAATGTTCTCGGGATTCCAACGCCACGGATAAACCTGACTGTTGCGTATTGACGACCTTGAACCGTGCCAGAACACCGTTCCTGAGACTTCAACACAGCGAATCATCGTAACTGTTGCGCCCTCATCAACCTGAATCCTTCCACAACCTTTATTTTTGGTATGCTGATCATGGGAACCCATGAAACTCTTGCAACCAGTTAAAAGGAATGTGCGCGGCGCTAAGGCGAGAACCACATGTTGAAAAGGAACCGCCCTCAACCCGTAAAACGCTTAGACATGTTGAAAACACATATGCGCGATGCTTCGGCGAGAACCACATTTTGAAAACGATCCGCCCTCAATCCGTGAAGCTCTTGCACATGTTTGAAACGAGTGTGAGCGGCGCTAAGGCGGGAGCCACATGTAAGAAACCATCCGCCCTCAACCGTGAAGCTCTTGCAAACTTTGACAGCACATGTGCGCGGCGCTACGGCGAGAACCTCATTTTGAAACCCATCCGCCCTAAATCCGTGAAACGCTTACAAAATTTACAACGAATGTGCGCGGCGCTACAACGAGAACCACAGATTGAAAGCGACCTGCCCTCAATCCGTGAAACTCTCGCACATGTTTGAAACGAGTGCGCGCGGCGCAAAGGCGAGAGCCACATTTAAGAAACCACCCGCCCTCCATGTGCGAAACTGTTGCCAATTTTAAGCTTCAAGGTCATAAATGGTGAGAAAGTCTTAGGCGAAACACCCGGCCCGCCCTCAAAACTGGCCTCGAGGTGCGACAGGGAGAAGTTACTTATACGGAAAAGGATTGGAGGAGGAGGAGGAGGAGAAGGAGGAGGAGAAGCAGGAGGAGGAGCAGGAGGAGGAGGAGGAAGAGGAGGAGGAGGAGGAGGAGCAGGAGGAGGAGCAGGAGGACGAGGAGGAGGAGGAGGAGGAGGAGGAGGAGGAGGAGGGCCCCCCTCCGAACGCCGCGCACCCCAAAGGTCAACCCCCGGCGGAAGGCCACTCTTGCGCGCGACCGCTCGCCGACCGTCACGCCGACGACGAAGAAGAGGTTGGACGCGGGCACGAAGGGCACGATGGCTAGAAGAAGAACACATGCCATAAACATGAACCTTTGGGCGCTCCGCGCAGAGTTCTTGGATCCGCGCTGGGCCCCCCAGGCGGCGCCTCAGGCGCGCTCCGCGCGCCAGGGAGGGGGGCCCAGCGCAGATCCAAGAACCCCACGCGGAGCGCCAAACATTTATGTTTATGTAGTTGTTGTTCCTTCTTCTTATGTCCGGGGGAGGAGAGAGAGAGAGAGAGAGAGAGAGAGAGATGCCGATGCCCTGGGACCCTGGCGTCGCAGCTACTACTCGAGGCGGACTTCTGCCTCGTTCCGGGCCTCTGGGGCCCTCACGGGTGGACTCGGGCTCGAGAGAGGCGGCGGAGAGATGGGGTCCAGGGCTCTCTCCGTGACGTCCGATCTCAGGGGCCGCAACCCCAGAGATCCGACGTCGTGATTTTTTCAACACGGGACCCCCAGGATCCTCAACCATTCCCCGGGACCCGTTTTTTCATGCCGAGTCCTCTTTTCGGGGAGACGTAAGACTCGGGTATGGGGGACTCGGGTTGGCCTGACAAGGCCATCCTAAAAATGACGAGACCCAATCTGAAATGTGACGCGAACTCCCGCTGCAAACATCCTACGAAAACCTGACCGTCAAAATCCAGGACGCGCTCGTCAAAAAAATCGGCAAACCCAAGTTCCGCCTTATCCGAGTCTTTCGTTTCCCCGATCTCTTGACGGTCCTGGGGCCTGGCGAGGGCCCCCAGAGGCCGAAAACTGCGACAAACCTCCGCCTTGATTTTGTTCAATGCGCTGGATCTCTGGGGTTGACACGTGCGATCAAGACATCCTCTTGCTGTAAGCGGCCTTGGGGCACACTCTTCGGCGATCGCTGGAGGGTCCTGAGGTGTCCCAGGCCTTCGGTGGGGCCCGAGGATCTAAGACATGTCCGTGGGGCACCTGCTCGCAAGCCAATCTCGTACCTGACGTGCCTATACCGCTACGTGCCGCTGCTCCGCGGCCGCTGCTCCTGGGGCGCGCGCTGACTACGAGATCTCGAGGCGAACCCCAGCAACGGCGGCGGGAGCCCTCTCTACCTTGAAGTCCCACGCCGCAAAAAGAAATGACAACATCGTCAAACATCTGGAGGGGAGGAAAAGGGACAGGACGAGGATGGCGAGGAGGAGGGGGAGGAGGAAGAGGGGGAGGAGGAGGAGGAGGAGGAGGAAGAGGAGGAGGAGGAGGAGGAGGAGGAGGAGGAGGAGGAGGAGGAGGAGGTGGAGGAGGAGGAGGAGGGTTAGGTGGACAACGAGGAGAACAAGGAGGGACATGAGGAGGAGGAGAAGGAGGAGGAGGAGGAGAAGGCGGAGGAGGAGGAGAAGGAGGAGGAAGAGGTGCAGGACGAGGAGGAAAGAGAGGAGGAGGGGGAGGACGAGGAGGAGGAGGAGGAGGGACAGGAAAAGGGACAGGACGAGGTGCAGAGGAGGAGGCGGAGAAGGAGGAGGAGGAGGAGGAGGAGGAGGAGAGGGATGATGATGATGAGGATGATGATGAGGAGCAGGCTGAGAACGAGGAGGAGGAGGAGCAGGGAGGAGGAGGGGGAGGATAATGGAGGAGGGGTGATGAAGGGGAGGCCATAGCCCTGGACCCCATCTGTCTGCGCCGTTGTTCCCAGCCGCATCGCTCCACGAGGGCCCCCTGGCTCGAGGCGAGGCAGAATGTCGCCCGCTGCGAGCGAACATGCGATGCCAGGATCTCAGGGTACATCGGCTCCCAGGTTTCTGACGCCAGGTTGTTTCCCCGCAGCCACCCTGTGGTGTTGGGCCCTCGTGTCGAAGAGACAGCGCCCCGCGTCACTCACCTCGCCTCATCTTCCTTCCCCCCCTCCTTCTCCTCCCATCCCTGCCCCCTGCCCTCCGCATGACAACCTGTATCTCACGGCGGAGGTCGCATGCGGCCCCCCGCCCAGTTCGGAGCACGAACACCCCTATCGCATGTTCCGCGGCCATATCGGAAGCTCCACCGACGGCCCCAGTGGCAGAGTTCGCTTGCGGTTCCCCGCCCAGTTCAGTCACACGCTGCGCGGTCCCATAGAGAGCTCCACCGAAGGCCACATGTGGCTGGGTTCGCATGCGATAGCCCGCCCATTTCGGCACACCCCTTACACGGTTCGTGGCCCAATATGGAGCTCCACCGAAGGCATTCGTGGCAAGGTTCGCGTGCGGTTCCCCGCCCATTTCGGCACACTCCGCGCAATTGTTCGTGGCCTTATAGGGAGCTCCACCGAAAGCGGTTCCACAACGCGGCACTCACACCTGCATATGTTTGGGGTCCTTCGCCAGGGTGATGTCATAATCCTTGGACTCGCGTTATCGGCCGTCGTTCCCATCCATCCTGTGGTGTTTGTTGGGTCCTCGTTTTGAAGAGACAGCTCCCCGGGTCTCCCTCACTCATTCCTCCACCCCCTGCTTCCCCTGCTCCCTCCTCCCATCCCTGCGTCTGCCCTCCGCTTGTCTCTGTTTCGGCACACCCCTTACACGTTTCGCGGCACCGTCGGGGGCGCCACCCAAGCCCCCAGAGGCAGGGTCCGCATGCAGTTCCACCCTTCATGTCGGCGCAGCCCTCGCACGCTTCGCGGCATCATAGGGAGCTCCACCCAAGCCCCAAATGGTAAAGTCCGCATGCGGCTCCACCCCCACTTCCCCCGCAGCCCTCGCGCGTTCCGTGGCCCCATAAGGAGCTCCACCCAAGCACGCAGTGGCAGGGTCCGCGTGCGGTTCCGCGCCCCGTTTCGGCGCACCCTCGCTTATGGCCAGGTCCTTCGCCAAAACTGTTGTTCTTTTTAGGACGCGAGCAAATCTGGGTCGGCACCTCTCTGGGGAGACCAACACATACCGATACCGCTACTCCCTGGACCTCTCGCGGGGTGCGTTCTGACCAGAGAGTTTCGACGCGACTCCATCGGTGGCGACGAAGGTCCCCCAGGAGGCCCAGAAAGGGAAAACGGGTGAAGGGTGGCGGTATGGGTGCCTGCTCCTTCTCTGACTCTGCGTCCCCCGAAGATGGCGGCCAGCAGCCCGAGCACTGTCCGCCTTGCGGGCCCCAGGAAGATACACCACCACCACCTCCATCCCCCCTCCCTCCTCAACCCTCCCTCCTCTTCCCTGTCCTCAAGGACGCCCAACTTCGCGATCCGCCCTGCGCTCTTGCGCCGAACCCCCGGGGAGAAACGGAGGACGAAGAGGACTCGGGGCCGAACCACGAAGCGCGAATCACCCCGCGCCCTCGAGGGCGCCCTTGGTCCTGGATGCGGGAGGGAATGAGTGTGGGGGTGGTGGTGTGTATGTTTGGGGCCCTGTCCGCCTCCCGCCCGCGCCCGTCAGCGCCCGGGCCGCCAGCGCCACGAGCCCCAGGTAGGCGCAGAGCACCGCCAGGGCGCGGACGTCCCGCCAACCATCCTTTTTCGGGTGCGGAACATCGGCGGAGGACCGGAGGAGGGGGAGGAGGAGGAGGAGGAGAAGGAGGAGGAGGAGGAGGAGGAGGAAAAGGAGGAGGAGGAGGAGGAGAAAAAGGAGGAGGAGGAGGAGGAGGAGGAGGAGGAGGAGGAAGACGAGGAGGAAGAGGAGAAGGAGAGGAGGAGGAGGAGGAGAAGGCGGAGGAGGCGGAGGAGGAGGAGGAGGGGGAGGAGAAGAACGGGGGAGGAGGAGGAGGAGGAGGAGGAGGAGGAGGAGGAGGAGGAGGAGGAGAAGGAGGATAATGATGAAGAAGTGGGGGATGAGGTGGAGGACGAGAACGAGAGAGATAATCGGAGGAGGAAGCGGAGGAGGAGGACGAGGAGGAGGAGGAGGAGGAGCAGGAGGAGGAGGAAGACAAGGGGGAGGAGGAGGAGGAGGAGGAGGAGGAGGAGGAGAAGGAGGAGGAGGAGGAGGGGAGGATGAGGATGAAGAAGAGGAGGGCGCTGCTAATACATATGGTGTTGCTGATGATGATGCTGCTGCTGTCGATGATGGTGATGATGATGTTGATGATGATGTTGATGATGCTGACGATGGTGGTGAGGATGATGCTGCTGCTGATGACGATGCGGAGGAGGACGTTGAGGAATAGGAGGAAAAGGCGGAGGAGGAGAGGAAGGATGATAATAGGGGAGGAGGAGGATCGGAGGAGGAGGGGGAGGAGGAGGGGAAGGATCGGAGGAGGACGAGGCGTAGCCACGCCCCGCAAGTACTTGAGAGAGTTGCTGTTCTACTTGTGTGCATCGTCGAAGGCCAGCCTGGTTTTGGCCTCCTCTATACTCCACTGGTAGTCGACCGACATGAGGGGGCCATGGTCAGCAAACTTGTCGATCGTTTCCTATGGAAGAGCAGCGACGAATATAGATGATACATGAAGAGGCGTGGTAAGCTAAATGAGATGAGGGAACGACGTAAGATAATTCAAATGCATGGGAATATATGCATTTCAAATGCGTTGCGGCGAGATCGCAAGACTGTCCTGCGTGATCGTGGATACGACGAACTTGCCACGTTGGAGGTCGTCCATGGGGTGGAATGACGCATTGCCAGTGGCATGAAGCTGCAACTTCACGCCAGCCATGGCGTCGATGGAGATCACCTCGTATGTGCTCTCCCCCGAACTGTCGCTCGCCAAAGCGACTTTGGCGCCGACCTCAAAAGCTTTGTCGTTGAGCTTGTCCACTTGGTTCGGCCACTTGCCCGGAGCGGTGAACTCTTTCACCCCTGAGCTGCGCCCGTGCGTTGTCAGGGCTTTGGGCGCGCGGTCGGTCGGACTCCATGGCCAAGCAACTGATCTGCCTCCGTGCGCTGCCAACGCAGCGGTGAAGCTGACCCCCATAGCATTCAGCGTCTTGCAAGTGCTCAAGCGATCATCGGGCGCGCCGGACACGAAATGAACTACGCGAGCGTCAGTCAACCCCACGATGGTGCCGTCGGCGACCGAGTCTGCCGTGATGCCTTGACCTTTTGCAACATGTCGCGCTTTCTGAAGCAACTCATCAACCACCGGCGCAATAGTGGACCTCTTATCGCTCGACATGGCGGTCACGTCGCCTGTCTCCAAAAGCAGCTGGTTGCCATCCCTCGCGACTTTACCCGTCGCGCACGTCATCGCCTTCATGCGTGCGAGCTTGAATGTCGCCGCGGCCCCCTCGTGCTTGATCTGCGCGTCGGCGAGAGACTTCGCCAAAGAACCCGTGACCACGCCCTGAGATGTCAGCTGTCGCGAGAAGTCGCGAAGCTCGTTCAGGAAGATCGGGTTGGCAAGGCCGCCAGACAACTCCTTCGCATATTTTACTCACCCATAGATCTCCCCGAGGAAGAGAGAGCCCGCGCGAGCAGCTCACGGTGACATTGTCCCAATCGATGGTGCCGTCTGCATGGTGGCGGTTCGCAATAGCTGCGATTTTGAACATCAGACTCATGCGACTCTCGGACCTCGCAATCTGCTGAGCAGCATTGCCAGCTGCTTGCGGCAGGTTGCTGACCCATGGGAACTGCTGGACCAACTCATATGGAACCACACCTTCCATGCGTTCCCCTCGTCGCAAGCCTTGGCGCAATCGGGCTGCATCTCCCGCAATCTCGCCAATGGCAACTTACCCTCATGCGATATGTTGCCACATCGTTCTGGCATTGACGTGGGCGCGGGAACTTCTGCGCTGAAGCGGCGCAAGCCCACGCTCGTGCGCCCGCAAGTCTAGCTTGCAACTTGGCATCACAATCGTGGTGAGGTAACTGGCCTGCAGAATCCTGCGTGATTTTGAAATTGAACGTCTTGATCTTCTCATAGTCACATGTGTCCACTTGTGGAATTTCCATGCAAGCTGGATTCACGAGGGCCGAATTTATGAAAACCATCCCTGGAGATCTTCACGATCAAATCCAACGCCTCGCGCGGGACAGTACCGCACCCATGCCGATTCTCCGTGCACGCAAGCATATATGTTGAATGTATCTTATCCGCCCGAGGCAATCGATGTTCCTGGCGACCCCGCAGAGATCCTCAAACAATGAAACCACAGGCGCATCTGGCTGCAAATGCGTCTGCTTGGTTGGCGTCGCCTCAACGCTGGCATTCGTTGCTTTTTTTCTCGGGAAGCGTCCACCGCGCCGCGTGGGGGAATCCTAACCCAAACGGCTCGAGCCGAAACTCCACGGAGATGCAACACGAATGCAACAGAGGATTGCATCTTCGAGATGATATGTCGCATTTGCAGCGCACCGCATTCTTGCAACGATCGAGACAAGTTTAAGAATGCGTTCACACGCAAGTCTGGACATGCTGCCCTATATACATGGCCAAGAACATCCCGACGCACGCTTGCGCTTCTGAACGCAACATTCAAGGCGCATGCAACGCAAGAGCCAGATTTTCAAGTAAGCATGTTAAGGTAACTCAAGCTATCTACCTCCAACTGCACTCTGCCCGAGTTAGCCGCCTTAGTAACGTTACTAACGCTCATAACAGACCTGTATCATGGTGACAATTAAAATATAACCTACTTACAGCTGAAGCTAACAATTAGCAAGGCCGAAGGCCTTCAGGCGGTGGCCAAGCACTCTGCGCCGGGGTCGTGCACATGAATGCGGCGATGGGCGCGGCGAGCGTGATGGCGCGCATCTTGTCGACGAAAGGGCCGCGCGCTGGGCGATTTCTGAAATGGAGAAATCAGGGTCGGCATGCTGCCCCCCGAAGCCAGCGCGAACAAGGGGGGGGATGGCCCGAGGCAGGGCCAGGAAGTGAGGCAGGCGAGGGCAGGCGAGGCAATAGCCGGGACGGCTTGAGCGACCCTCGCGCCCGAGCAGGCAACTCTTGCGCGGGCCGAGCGGTAAGCGGTGTCTGGTCCACCACGCTCCTGCGGGAATTCTTATATGGGGCCCAGCGGATTGCTGGTGCCTCGCGCGCCAACTGGGAAGCTGCCGGCACTGTCGATCAACGGCGCCCCCCTCCTCTCCGGATCTGAAGAGGGAGCGCGGGCGCGTTGCGCGAGGCATGGCAACGTCGCGGCCCCCGAGAACATGCAGGGTGAAGCGTCGCTTGGGCCCTCCCCCATGCATTCGGACATTCGGCGCGCCAGCGTTCGCTGCCTCTACCCACTCGGCAACGAAAGTATGCGCTGCTGCCGGGGCGACGGGCTGCGCGCATGAGACGACGAGGACAGCGGGATTTGGGTCGCGATACCAATCTGGAAACTTGGCCATGTGTGCAGACTTGCTGGTTGATGCCATGTATGGCGTCCCAAACTTCTTGCTGTTGAGCTTCCTGTCTAGCCTGAGCCTGTTGGACGGACACGAGATCCTGTTCTTGTCCGTCGAGGCGTCTGGCCTGTGCGTCTTCGTGTCGATGTAGGGCTGTGACAAGCTACGTCTGAGACTGTTCCAGCGCTTTGCCGAGCGCGGTCTGCATGCTGGCAATTTGAGAGGCAACTGAGAAGCTGAACTTCGGGACCGAGTGAAGTTTGGGCCACAGTGCATGCTGTGGTGCTGGGGCTTTTCCTCTTTGAGTAGCGAGCAGCTGTGCCCTCGAAGGCCCAAACAGAGGATCGTCAGGATGTCCGCCAAGTGGTGCATGTACGGCGGCCGACGCAGCTGCGGCTGCGGCGTAACTGGGAACTGCGGCTGAGCTGCGCGAGCTGCGCGTGCGGCAAGCCATTCCCCTTGTGGGTGAGAAGGGAAGGTCACGCATTCATCGATGTGTTCAAGCTGACGACGTCGCCATTCAGCCTGCTCGGCTGCAGCGTGGGATCTAGCTGGCGGAGCGAATGTGTCTTTGCTGAGCGGGCCAAGTGAGCGTCCACCATGTCCTTCGTGTTCGGTCACGGTCTCTGTCACGTTTGCAGTGCGTATCACGGCGATGACGGCCTCTTCGGCCTCGGTGCCCGAGGCCGTTGCTTCGGCTCTTGATAACACCTCGAGAAGAATTGCTGTCGATGTCCATCGACTCGCGTCCAAGCATACAGCTCCACGCAATGCCTGTCCGATCCCAAGCGAAAGAAGAGTCAACCCAAACGCATGTAATTGAATTGGTTGAATTGGTTGAATTCGGAATGTCGCGAACACGCGCTTCGTTTTGTAAATATGGCTGGGCACCGCAGGCTGGGCAGCCGTGGGTGGGATCCTCGGGAGATGGAAAGCGAAGCTGAAGGGCCAGCTGCCTTGGAACATGTTTAGCTTGAGCCACAACGGCTTAAGCCCACATGGTTTGAGCCCAAATGGCTACAGCCAAGATGGCTACGGGAGGGGGGGGAGAGGAAGAGAAGGAGGAGGAGGAGGAAGGAGGAGGAAGGAGGAGGAGGAGGACGAGGAGGAGAATGATGAGAAAGAGGAGGAGGAGGAGCACGAAGATGAGGGGGAGGGGGGGAGGAGAACGGAGAGGAGGGAGAGGGGAGGGGGGGAGGAGGAGAAGGGGAAGAAGGAGGATGAGGAGAAGACGGAGGAGGAGGAGGAATGTGGAGGGGTTGGCTGAAGATGACGATGATGATGCTGATGACGACGATGATCATGCTGATGATGATGATGATGAGGATGATGATGATGATGATGATGATGATGATGATGACGGCACGTATGATTATATGATGAGGAGGACGATCACGATGACGATGCTGATGATGAGGGGGATGAAGATGGTGGTGGTGATGATGACGATGCTGCTACTGCTGCGGCTGATGGTGGTTATGCTGATGATGAGGATGCTGCTGCTGCTGATGATGATGCTGATGCTGATGCTGATGCTGATGATGATGATGATGATGCTGACGATGACGATGATGATGATGATGATGATGATGATGATGATGATGATGATGATGATGATGATGATGACGCTGACGCTGACGCTGACGATGGTGATGCTGATGGTGCTGATGATGATGCTGGTGCTGCTGCTGCTGATGCTGATGCTGGTGCTGATGATGTTGATGATGCTGATGATGACAAGCAGGAGGATGAGGAGGAGGAGGAGGACGAGGAGGAGGAGGAGGGAAAGGAAGAAGAGGTTGACTCCGCTCAGGTCGCGAGACTGCGCCTGTTCTTCAAGGATGAGCGGGTGGAGCTCCAGCGCTGCGTGCTGCGCGACATGGGGCCGCTGACGCGGGCGGACGAGTCGCCGCTGGTGGGGCCTGGGCCCTCCGCCGGGTGCCCAGGATGATGATGATGAGGAGGGGGAGGAGGAGGAGGAGGAGGAGGAGGAGGAGGATGAGGAGGAGGAAGAGGAGAAGAACGAGAACGAAAACGAGGAGGAGGAGGAGGAGGAGGAAGAGGAGGAGGAGGAGGAGGGGAAGCGGGAGAAGGAAAAGGAGGAAGAGGAGGAGGAAGAGGAGGAGGAGGAGGAGGAGGAGGAGGAAGAGGAGGAGGAGGAGACGGGCAACGACGTCGACAGCCGCGTCAGACTGGAGGCCTCTGCCTGTTGCTGCGAACGGCCCGTGCGTTAGTACCGACGCCCCCCACCGCAGGCGGGCGGCATCGGCATCTTTCCGGGCGCCGTCCTTCAGCACCGGCAGCGTGTCGTAGGAGTAGTCCCAGGAGAGCCGCCCGGGGAGCACCAGCAGCCTCGCGTAGAAGGCGTGCTGGAAAAGGTACGTCCTGGGGGGTGGGGTGTTAGGAAAAAACAAACCTACCTCGCTTTTGACCACCCTCGCTTCCAAAAGATACCTAACGATGCCAAATTGCAGCCTGTACTGGTCAGGCCGCTTGACGAGGAGGCGCGTGGTATGGCTTGGTTTTGCCTGGAAGCGAAAGCGCGGTAGGTAATTCACGCTCTGAGGTGTGGTGGGTGGGGGCGTTTTCAATGGACATTCTCGGATGTTTCCGGCAAGGCGCGAGCAAAAGCCGTGTTTTTCGTGTTGCGCAGTTGTGGTTCCATTTCCCTCGTGCTGTCGTCGTTCTGAGCTGGCTGCGAGACGACATCAAAACGAAAACGGCCCACGAAATCGCCAAGACACCGTTTAGCTCGAGCCTTGGTTTCCGGACGTTTCGAACAGAGCTTCTCTGAGCTCCGCGGGGATTTCTTGCATCGACGCTGGGCCCCCCTGGCGGCGCCCGCGGCGCCGTCCGTGGCGCGCTCCGCGCGCAGGAGGGTCCAGCGCCTAGCCAAGAGATCCGCGCGGACCTCCGAGAGATTATGTTCATGCCAATACACACAGACCCCCTCTCGAGGTTTGACGTTTTCTGGCGTTTTCGTCGGTTCTCTCCCTCCAGGATGCTTCCTTCCCAGCAGCTGCGCCTCGCCGAGAACGTTCCAGGGGTGCCCGAATCGTCCCGAACGGCCGCCAGAGCCCCGAGTTATGGCCCGGAGACCAAGTCAGGAGGGTCACTGACGGGGACCAGCTCATGGGGGGAAACATCGAGCCCGAATCGGTGATGCACCGCCGATGGATCGCCGAGATGCCCCCGATAGCAGAACCGCAAGTCTCTGGGCGGAGTGGCCTATCGGGCCCCTATCGGTGATGAGTGGGCGAGTGGGGATCGACGCATCCCCCCCCCCTGAGCGTATCACCCAGAATCCTCGTCTTGTTTTCGGGCAATCTTTCCGCGCACCGGCGGCCGTTCGGGATGATCCTGGCACCTCGGGAGCGCTCTCGGCGAGGCGCAGCCGCTGAAAAGCATCTGGTGGCTGGACAACCGCGGAGAACCGACGAACACGTCGGAAACATTCAAATCTCAAATTTTTTGGGGGACCCCGACGTCCAGGATCGCGCCCAGACGTCCCCGTGGTACTGCACCGGGGTGTCCACGAAGCCAAAGTGTGTCTCCGTACCCTGCGTGATCAAGAGGCGGCACGCGCCCAGGGCTGCGAAGACTGCCAGGGCTGCGAGCGCCAGGCCGACGCCAAGCCTGGGGGAGGCCCTGCGCGTGCACAGCTCGACGCCCGCGAGGAACACCGGAAGCGTCAGACCGCTCTCCTTGCTCAAGCCCGAGCACACGGCCAGCAGCGTGCCGAACGCAAGCAGCACAGCGCCCGAGGCGTAGTGCGGAGCCAGGTCCTCTCGATGAGGGGAGCTGGGGAGAACAAGAGGTACGGAGACCGCTACGATCCCCGGACCTCTCCCGGGGGTGCGTTCTGACCAGGATTTCCGACTCCAGCTGTGGCGACGAGAGCCTCCCGGGAGGCCCAAACAGAGGAAGACGAGGGAAGAGTTGCAGCATGGGTAACCCCAGGAAGCATTTAAGAAACACCCCCCCCCCCCTTCCGGCAAATCGATAACCCTTCCGCACCCTGGAAGCGTTACCTGGCACCAGGAGCCCTCCTCCTCCTCCTCCTCCTCCTCCTCCTCCTCCTCCTCCTCCTCCTCCTCCTCCTCCTCTCCTCCACCCACGAACTTCCTCCTGCCCCCTCCTCCTCCTCCTCCTCCTCCTCCTCCTCCTCCTCCTCCTCGCGACATCCTGAGTCTTTCATGAGAGCCACGCAGATTTGAATTTCGAATTTCGATTGTAGCCCAGGGGCCAGGCCTCCGCGAATTTGTTGTGTGTCCGGGTGCTAAACCTATCGTGCGGTTATTTCGGCCCCTCGGAATA